GGATGGTGTATCAGTCACTAGGACTAATTGTTTCCATGAATTTTGGTTTTCTTCATTCTTCTTTGCTCTGGACGAGGAGAGACCCATCGTTGCAGCTAGATGGCAGCTTGCTAGCTTTTAAGATCCCAGTCGTATTAGCACAGTTTTTGTAGCCAAAGCATGAAGGAGCCATGGTGGCACTGTGGTCAAGTGCTTGGCTGCTAACCAAAAGTTCAGCAGTTTGGACCCATGAGCCGCTCCACAGGAGAAAGCTGTGGCAAAATATGCTTCTGTAAATATTTACAACCCTGGAAAACCTATGGGGCAATCTACTCTATCTTATAGGGTCATTATGAGTTAGAATTAACTTGACAACAACAAGTTTGGTTTTCATATATTGCTCTATTAAGGTGAAAGACAATGCAATGTGTATGTGTTTCTGGATTCTTAACACTAACAGATTTCCCTCTGTAGAAGCAGACAATTTGAGAGAGTAGGGTTTCACAGTGACTGCAATGATGGGCTCAGGTATAGCAAGGATTGTGAGGCTGGCACAGGACAAGCCACTGAATCATTCTGCTGTGCATAGGGTCGCTATGAGTCAGAGATGACTCGATAGCACCTAACAGCAGGGTTTCGCTTGTTCTTTTATCTTTATTCTCTCATCCCCAATACCTCAAATGCCCTATACAAAAACATACACACTCACATTCTCACTCACATACACAAGAGGGAAAGTAAATGAGTCTGTATCCTTCAGGATCAAGCATGTAATGAAAATCCAATCACTATGACTCAAAGGAGACAGAAGTTGTGTTTCTATCTCTCTCTCTGTCTCTTTCTCTCTCGTGTAATAATCGAGATGTAGGCAGTTAAGCTGTGCTTCACCACACAGCTTCCACCTGTTACTCCACATTCGTGGCTTCTATTCCCTAAGGAATCTCTATTCCCCGGGGCATGACACCAGCCCCATTGTCTGCAGACTAGCCAGTAAGAAAGTAAAGGAAGAAAGCAAGGAAAGGGGCAGAGAACACAGCACTTGTCTTAAGGAAATTTCCTGGAAGTTTCCATACAGCAGTAGCATCTTTTTGGCATGAATCTAATAACATGAACTCAGCCATAGTGGAGATCAGGAATGTTGTGTTTATTTTTTCACCGTGTGTTCCAAATTAACACTTTGAGGTTCTATTAGTGAGGACCAAGGGGAAAATAAATACTGGCAGACAACTAACAAGCTGCCAAGGGCTCCTCCCTAGGCCTCCCATGATGTAATGTATGGGATTTCATTGTCAGAGGTTTTGTAGATTCCTCTCCTCCCCACCACACTGCCTTTCTCTCTCCCAGGTGCTTTCATTCTATCTCTTAATTTACACAGGAACCTTATTCTGGTCCAAACACACTTCTCCAAGGAGAAAAGAGAGGAGCAACTAGTAAAGGACAGATCACCATTCTTTCATTCTCATTATTAAAGCTACCCGAGAGCTAAGAAATTTAGCAGAAGGGTCTGAGCCAAATTCCAACCCTCTTCTTGTATATTTCCTATCTAATTGAGACCACAGTCAGTTTTAATTGAACATAAAATCTCCTGTTTGATCCTAAGTAGAATAATGTTTTCATTTGCTAGTAAGTGGATTTTGGACCTCTTCCCAAAGGAGGCTACACTGCAGTGATAGTTGTAATATTATCTCATTCAAACAAAAAATGTTTAATATTCTTTGGGAACATACTACCATCTGTGGCCCACAGAGTCTGTAATTTGAAGACAAATTTAAGCTGCCAACATAGCCCTGGTTAGCTAGGCAGTTGTTCTGCCACTCCATAGAGCACCGTTGTTGTTGTTGTTAGGTGCCATCAAGTAGGCTCTGACTCATAGCAACCCTATGTGCAACAGAAAGAAACACTGCCCGGTCCTGCACCAGCCTCACAATCTTTGCTATACTTGAGCCCATCTTTTTGAGGGCCTTCCCCTTTATTGACCCTCCACTTTACCAAGCATGATACCCTTCTCCAGGGAATGGTCCCTTCTGGTTTCAAAGTGCTGTCTCAGGCAACAAGTAGGGCTAGAGCAAAGGCAAACTCCATCCCTGCCTCCCCCACCACCACCACCACCACCACACACATCGATTCTGCCTGTATTTTATGTATTGGATTTCTATATGGAATCTTATTTAAAGAAAGGCTTTGGCTATAGTTATGAATTGAATTGTGCCCCCTCCCACCACCCCACCCAAATATGTATTAGAGTTCTGTTATATCTTTGGACGTGTGCCTGTTTGGGAATAGGGTTTTTCTTCATTTTAATAAGGTCATCGTGTCAGTGCAGGGTGTGTCCTAAACTTAATTTCTTCTGAGTTATGAAGAGAGCAGAGTAGACACCGAATTGAGCACATACCAAGGAAGACAGATGTCATGCGAAAATTGCTCGGGCTCTAAGGAGCACTGGGGCTACAGAACTGAAGGAGATAAGGATCTTTGCCAGAGCTGACAGAGTGCCTTCCCCTATAGCCGGTGCCCTGAATTTGGACTTTTAGTCTTCCCAGTTATGAGGAAATAAATTTCTGCTATTTAAAGCTACCTACTTGTGGTTTTTCTGTTACAGCAGAACTATGTAAAACAGCTACTTTCAAATATCCGCCCTTGTTGTTCCCAGACCTAATTATATTCCTTGTGGATTTCTTTCATGGAGATATTACACCCTGGAAGCTCTTCAATCTTTTAGAAGCTTCTAGAGAAGGGTAAAAATGAAAAAAAGGGGGGAGGAATACTTGTGAAAATTTTATTAATCCATCATCATGACATATTTTGCAAATTATTTAACTTATTTGGAAAGATCATAGTGATGCTTACAGATTAGATCACCACTATGTCCTTATTCCAAAGAGTCCAAACCCATTGCCATCAAGTCATTTCTGACTCATAGTGACCTTATAGGACAGAGTAGAACTATCCCATGGGGTTTCTAAGGCTGTAAATCTTTATGAAAGAAGACTGTCACATCTTTCGCCCCCAGAGCAGCTGGGTAGATTGGAACTGCCAATCTTTCACTCGGCAGCCAAGTACTTAATCACTTTGCCACCAGGGTTCCTTATGTTTTGATTAGTAAGATTGTATTAGTAAGTATATTTTTCTGAATCAATGTGCATAATTTAAATTATTTTTTCTTATTTTTCAGTCATTCAAATTTTGCTTTCTAATCTTTAAATCTTTATTGTGCGTAAATATAGTTAATGCCTGAGAACACTGATATTTCTGTTTTGGTCAATATAGAAAAACACAGAGGAAATGATGACTGAATGACAAGATCTGTTAAGTTTGCATAGTAAAGCTTTATCACAACTTTATTGTTTGTTTCTGTCAAATATTCTATGGGGATAAAGAAGAGAGAGAGTTATTTGTAGTTGCTTTTTTTAAAAAAAAAATCCAATTTTTCTTTCTGGTAGATCAGCTACTCAAGTAATAATCACATCCTGAAAGGAATAGTTAAAGGATTTATTCTAAATAAAATACTCTAAGAATTTATTTCTCTCAGCATCAGTTTCTTCATTTTCCAACTCATATTTCTTCATGGCAACAAAATATCGAATAAAGGTTTCTCCTAGAGCCTGTCTCAGACACTCATCTTCCTCTAGTGCCACAAGGGCATCTTCCAGTTTCAAAGGGATCTCAGAAGGTTTTGACTGGTAAAGGTCTGTGCTGTCATCTGGATCAGCCAAAACACCATCTCTGCTTTGAACTCCATCCAAGCCTGCAGCAATAGTTGCAGCCAGCACCAGGTAAGGGTTTGCTGTCGCTGAGCCTAGTTTATTTTCTATCCGGGCTCCTTTCTCACCATGACACTTGATATTAAAAGCACAGCTGTTATCGTTATAACCCCATGTTGTGGGGACACTCTCCTTCAGGGCTTTACTGTCCTTGGAATAACGCTTTCGGCAGCTAACCGCAGGTGCCATCAGACAGCTCAGAGCCGCAGAGTGCTTCAACAGTCCTGCCAACCATTTTTTCCCAGTGACTGTGAGCTGTTCAACTCCAGAATTGCTGCAGAATACATTTTGCTTGCCATTGACATCCCAGAGACTATGAGACAAAATTCCTGAATTGCACAATCCAGTCTCAATGAAAAAACTGGCAATGTAATTGTATTTCCTTGCCACTTCTTTGACACCTGTTCTTAGGGTAAATGCATTATCAGCTGCACTGATGCCAAATTCTGGCAGAAAACAGATTTCCATCTGACCAGGTCTGGTGGAGGAGGAAAAACTCTCAACGTTGGCTCCAGTCTGATACAGGCCATCAATGAGCTCCTGCATAAAGGGCTGGTCATGATTATTCATTAATGATGAAGCAGGAAAAGATATGGTCTTTGAATTGATAATTTCAGGCACACCAAAAATGCAAAAATCATAAATGAAGGCAGAGAGCAGGGAAAAGCCAGCGTCCTGCAGCTGGCTCAGCTGCCTCTTTGCAATGTACCTTGGAGAAGTCAACAGAGGATCACCAGTCACAGTGAATGTATCACATATCACTCTTGCAGTTCTCTCAGCCCACGGCAAAACTCTAAAGGTGGATAACTCTGGCATTAGGACTATGTCACTATTGAAACACGTTGCTCTTATGTGATTCACTTCATTGTCTTTAGGATTCGGCATCAATTCAAGATAACCTCTGGGCATGTAAACACCATGGATCACTTTTTCCTAAACAAGAAAAAGGTAGAGCAATTTGGTTTTAAAATGTGAAAACAAACAGAAGGATTGAAAAGAGCTGTCCTAATAAGAAAAAAAAAAAAAAAAAAAGATGTTTAGCATCTGTTGATTAATACTGCTTAATATCATATAAATTTTAAAATATTTTCAAATAAAAGGCACTTTTATAGACAACTCTTGACATTTTTAACCTTAAAGGTTTCAGATGCTCTAAGACCTGAAAATGGCAGTTATTAAAAAAAAATTTCAAACCATCATCATGGAATGTGCTCTTTAAAACCCTATTCATTTGATGGCTTAGTTGCTAATACTTCAGATGAGGCTTTGTTTTGAGGTTATTCCCATCGTAATCCCAGTAGTTAACAGACTCTCAAAATTCTAGAGTAAAGAATCTTCCAACCTTCTTAGTGAGCTGACTGTGGTCAGTCCTGAGGTACCCAGGACATTTGTCATAACATCAGAGGAGTCAGATCTGCTGACAGCAGCAGCCCTTTCTTCATTCACTTTTACAGTTCACTTTAGAGTTAACTTCCTCACTGTCTCACAAAAACCCAGAAACCTTGCCTGTGAATGTGAGCCTATAACTCCAAAGTTATAATTTCTAAAATGTCTTTCATGTCAGCATGAACTGGGTGTTAGTAAATCTGACTTGTAGCCCTGGTTCGTTCATTAATTAGTTCTGTAGAGTTGGGCAAGGTGCTTGTATTCTATTTGCCTCAGTTTCCATCTCTGTAAAACAAGTGTTAGACTAGATGATTGCCAAGGTGCTTTCTTGCCATATACCTCACCTCTAGGGTCCAGTGGATTTGGACATTTATTTAACTTTTGCGATGTGCCAGACAACATAAAAATGATGAGATTAAAAGTTGACCAGACCCATAAAATAAATTTTAGAAATTGTGTAATAGAATATCAACAAGGCTTGAAGGTATTCCATGTGTTGAAGGTGGTTATATTGATGGGTGAGGAAAAAGTCCTGACTACAAACTTTGATTACCACAATGTCAGTGAGTATCATGAAGTTAATAAAACATCTCAACATTCTGCAAGCCTGGCTTTTTATTATGTTACATCAAAATCCCAAAGATAACATGGCCACCAAGGAGGGACTGGTCTAGAAGAAGTGATCTACTGGTCCACTCTCCTGGCTTCAATCATAAGTCACTGTCTCCTTCACTCTCCACTATTTCAATTTTCAATTGCCATTTTGACTTGGCTGACCCAAGCCTATGTTTACCAGTAACAAAGCTGAATGAGCTATGCACTATTTGGTGTCTATGTTACTTTTCCACTCATTCAAGGACCTGTATATATAAACTTAAACTGTAGGATCTTGGAGTACTTTAGTACAAAAATCCTTTAATTCAACTTTTCACTGTAAGAAATTATAAGTTATTTTCCTACTTGTCAATTTTTTTTTAGTTTGAAATTATGTATGTTAGTTCTGTGTGTATCTAAAATGAGGGATACTATATTTTATTCCTAAGACTTCTAATTTAAATCTGTGTTTGTATTCACTTGGTTGTGAATAGTAGAGAGCAGCTGGGCTCCATTTCACTCTAATAGTCCCTTATGAATTTGAATATAGTATAAAGTCACACTTTACTCTTCAGGTTATTTAATCCACACTTCTCTGAGCACTCTTTTCTAACACTATAATATTCTTTATTTTAAAGTTTTGTTTAGAGATATAAAGCACTAGAATAACTTTACACTCCAATATAAATTGCTATGGACTCAATAAAAATTCTAGCAGAATAGCTCAAATCTCTATCACAACTGATATCTGGACCATACTATAGATTATGTTTTGAAGTGCCTCAAGAATTAGTTTTGAGTTCTATAGCAATATATTTTGTTATGAATAGATCCAAGATAGAGAGAACCTACTTTATCTACATGTAATTTAATTAAAAGTCAATTCTTTGATAGAACAGAGATAGCATAAATTGATTGTAAGGTTTGAATAAGCAAATACTAGGCACATGGTAAATTCTCTAAAAAGAGTAGACACCATTATCATTATAATGGGTTCTTTATTTGGTCTTTTCCAGTTATGTAACTGTCTTTTCTTCTATTCCTAGTACCAAACTAAACCAAACTCACTGCCCCCAAGTCAGGTCCAACTCACAGTGACCCCTGCTTGGGTTTACAAGGCAGTTTCACTACAGAAGTAGATTGCCCTTTCAAGGAGTGGCTGGTGGATTTGAACCACCAGCCTTCTGGTTAGCAGTCAAATGCCTTAGGCACTACACCACCAGAGCTACTACTCAGCCACCATAGTTCCTTCTAGCAGATGGTCTGTGTTCTGGTTACCTAGTGCCACTCTGACAAGAATATACCACAAACGAGATGGCCTTAACAAACAGGAGTTTATTCTTACAATTTGGAGGCTTTAAGTCCAGGTTTAAAGTGCCAGGCTCTAGGGGCTGGGTGAAAGCCCCTCAACCTTGGAGTCCAGCTCTGCCTTCTGCTCCCGGCCCACTGAAGCTAGAGGTGTTTCTTCACTCAAACAGCTGCTAGCTGCTGAGGCTGGAAGCCCCAAGGTTGACAAGTAAAAAGGCACAGTCCTGATGTTACCAGACCACACAGCAGGCCATTAACTTAAGCCCATTTTAAGTCCCAAGGTCAGCAGAGCATAGCAGGCTGCTGAGCAACTACGTAGCTACATGCAGGGTCCAAGTATGCCATAGGCTAGAGACTATTCTCAAAACTTCTCCTTATATATAGGAAGCAGACCACATATCCAAAGGCAGATACTCAGCTGCTCCCAGTAGATTCCACCATGGAGTTGATTACCAGTCTCATCATGGGAATACTACATCCAGCTGCCCAGCCACTCAACCAGGCCCGGCCAAGTTGACACACAAACATAACCACCACAGCCTGTTTTTCAAAAATCAATATTTTTTTCATTTAACAAGAAAGAACACCTAGATGAAAGTTGAATTGACCAAAGTTGTACAATAGATATATTAAGGAAAGAACACCTAGATCAATAGAAGAAATAACAGGTAATATTAAAGCTAAGCTGGAGACAGTAGATGCAGTAAAAAGAGCATCAAACTAGAAGTGAGGAGTCATAAATTGATGTCAAGGTTCGCCACTAACTGCCTACATAACTCTGAGGAAGCGTGCCTTCAATTTTCTGGCCTCAGTTTCCTCATCTATAAATAAAGAAGATGGATTACATTATCTCTTATATGCCTTCATGGTCTGAATTATTAATTTTTAAATTGATATTTTATTTCCACAAGTAGAAAGTTTTTAAAAACTACTTAATAAGGTAAAGATTGAAATTAACATTTTCCTAAGCCATAAGCAAACTCCAATTATTGACTCCATCCTTCAATGAATTTCTGTACAGGACTGTGTGTATGTGTTCATGTATGTATATTCACTCCCATTGTTTAGATTAGTTTGCACAGATGGACCTATTTGCAATATCTATTCATGATGTAACTATAAAATAATAATGGAAAAAAAATGGGAAATGACTTGTACTACAAAACTGAGGCTAAGAATCAATACAGCAATTAAGAAGTGTAAGTTATTGTTTCCTAATACATGAAACTCAAATAAAAATGGTACAATGTGATACATTGAATAAGATAGTGGGAAATGTTTTCAATAGAAATTTGGCAAAAAAAAAAAAAAGGCAAGCAGAAATTGTCTCCTTATGTCAACTTATATCAATCTAAGTAAGTGTAGGGAGTATATTGAAATATATTTTAACAAAGAAGTTCAATTGAATGACTAAATCAAGGTTTTAAATACATAGCTTTATGATGCTATTAACCCACTGCAGTCAAGTCAATTCTGACTCATAGAACTGCCCCACAGGGTTTCCAAAGTGGTAAATCTTTTTTTTTTTTTTTTAATTTTATTTGTTTTGGTGAGAATATGCACAGCAAAACTTACACTATTTCACCAGTTTCCACTTGCACCATTTAGTGACATTGATTATGTTCTTCAAGTTTTGTAACCATTCTCACTCTCCTTTTCTGAGTGGTTCCTACCCCATCATTAACATAATTTCACGGCCCCTGAAAGTTCATATCTAGTCTTTCAAGTTGTTGTTATAAATTTGATATCATGTAGATGGTTCTTAAAAGAACAAATCCTCAAGGCAGACATTTTTTATTAGTTAACCTAAACTACTATTTGGTTTTAAGAAGATTTCAAGGGACAATTTTGGTTTAAAGTTTATAGATTATCTTAGGGCACTAGTTTCAGGAGTTCACCCAACATTTATGGATCCCAGATGTCTGGAGTTCATGAGAATTTGAAATTCTGTTTTGCACTTCTTCCATTTTGCTGAGGATTCTTTTATGGACTTTTTGATCAAAGTGCTCAGTAACAGTATCATTCCAGTTGTTTTATTTTCATGGCAAAGGATGCTGTTGTTCATGTAGGCAATTAGCTACACATTCCATATCCTCCTCCTATTCTGAACTCTCCATCTGTCATTCTAAGCTAATAAGTCTAATTTTTGTGCTTTGGGTAGCCTCTTGCAAGCTTTTAAGTCCCTGGGCATTACACATCCAATTAGGATGTAGAACAGAAGCACTAAATATGTTATTAATTCAATTAACTGGAATGTCTCTTGAAACCATAACCCTAAACCTCCAAACCAAGGAACCAAAACCCATGATGTTTTGGGGTGTATGAGAGCAAGGGCAATAAATCTTTATGGAACCAGGCTGCCACATCTTTCTTCTGCAGAGCAGCTAGGGCATTTGGCCTGCTGACCTTTCAATTAGCAGGTGAGCAATTTAACCACTGTGTCACCAGGGTCCTTTTAGATGCTATTAGTGGGATAAATTATTAGCATGTGACAAAAACTAAATAGCAACCAGTTTTATATTGAGGTCTCTGGGCAGGGCCTAAAATGCCCATTATATTTTCTGGCAAGCAGAAAGAGATTTGTGTGAATTAGATTTTGACATATTCACAGCAAAATTTCACATTTTGTTATAAAAAAAAAAAATAAGTAAGACAACACCTTTCTTGTCTAGATGGAGAGAAAACATATCTGTTTCTAGGTCCAAAAAATTCTTAAACCAAATTTAAATCTGTGGAATTCTTTAAAGGTATTTTTTAGGTTTACCAATATAAAGCAAATTAAAAATTACAAGTTGATATTAAAGTGTTCAAACAGAATACTGAAAAAATAAAGGTAAATAAAAACATGCTTAATTTTCTTATAGAGTATTGACTGGTGCCTTCCTGGACATGTTGACAGAATTTAAGAAATAATACAACAAATAAGTCATTAAAGTAAGCACATGATATGAATTTTAAAAAAAAACTCAGAAGTCTCTAAATATATCCAGAAATACAATATTTCTCAGTATCACTATTTTCAAGAACTTAATATTATACATGAACTCATCCTACAACAATTGAGTCTTATCAGAATTAGAAGCTGGAAGACATGCATTTTATCTAACAAATTCTCTCTATTTAATTTCTTTTTTTTTTTCTTTTTATGTTTGCTCTTGGGTCTTCTCTTATAATTTTCTCATGTCAAATAAAATATAATCTTCATAATTGCAGTAAAGGATAAAAGATAATTCTGTGGAGGGAAATTATTCTAGGCAGAAGGAGTAAAATTACCATTCTTAATTAGTTTTGTATTTCTATTGGGTAAAGGAATTGCTATTTGGGAACTGAGAGTATATGTTCAGCTCCTCGGGGAGCAATAATGTGTTTGTCATGGGACAAGGAAAGAAACAAAATAAATTATTGGTTTTCAGCTTGAATTGCTGTATAGATTACAAGAAAATAAGAAAGAGTAATAAGGACCATTTGCTTGCTAATGGTCATGAAATTGCATTCAATCATAATTCTGCACATAAAACTTACTTGGAAAAAGTGAGCTGGGATACTCTTAGACCTGGACACGCCATGGAGGTCTGTTGCTTCAAAACGCACAAACTGGAGGTGATTTCTGGTCATCTCTTGTTTAATGTGCTTCATTCTAGAGGAAAGTTGAGGCATGGTGGGAGATTGAGTACTGTCCCTGGTTTGATCTGTAAAATAAAGAATGGTTCTAAGTCACTGGATCATGATGAATTGAAAAGCAAGACGAGGTTAGAAGGAAAGAAAAAACTGTTGCTATCAAGTCTATTTTGACTCATGGTGACCCCATGCATGTGGGAGTAGAACTGTGCTCCATAGATTTTTATTATTATTATTATTGGATGATATTTCAGAAGTAGATCACGAGGCCTTTATTTCAGGTGCCTCTGAGTAGACTTGAACCACCAACATTTAGGTTAGCAGCCAACTACCTTCACCATTTGTGCCACCCAGGCACTCCCAAGAGGAAGTTAGAGGTAGTGAATTTGCAATTACGTTTATTTAAAGAAACATCATCATGTCATTGGCTTAGAGTTGGAGATCTTACCCTTTCTTACTCTGCCTTTACCATTTCCCCAAGAACATTGTCTCTAACAGCCTAGGCGATCATCACTTACATTTAGCTGGAAGTTAACATTGTTTATGAAATTTATAACAATATCATATGTAGATACTGCAAACTTCTCTTAGGAAATTAGAATAATATATTGATATAACTGGACAACACCGGTAACATGTAAGTCTCTATACAGACAACTATTGAAAAGGTTTTGAGTGTATTGAACTAACTGATAATGCCCAGAATAAAAAATCCTGTATACTTGAGGGTAGGAGCTCTGGTAGCATAGTGGCTAAGGCACTTGACTATTAACCAGAAGGCTGGCGGTTCAAACCCACCAGCCACCCCTCGGAAGGAAGGTTGGGCAATCTACTTCCGTACTGATATAGCCTCAGAAACCCAAGGAGGGGTCGGTATGAGTCGGGTCTGACTGGACAGCACAAAACAACAACACTTGAGGGTAAAATCATTTGTTCATTTTTGTTTATTTTCTTTGTTCATTTTTTTTTCTTTTAGTCAGAAGGGCTTTATTTCTTTACAATGGTATGTGAGTCTAAGAAGTCTACATCTTTCTGTCAAATTTAAAATGAGTTAAATAAACAAACAAACAAAAAAGTGTTTTTCAAGAATAAGAGTAGAGGACATGAAAAATCTAGACTGTGTACTAAAATTTAAAATCAGAAACATGATCTTTTCAAAGCCTTTAAGAAATAATCTAAAAATTAAAAAGTTTTAGAAATAGAAGAGACATTGGAGATAAATCATCTAATCCAATCAACTCATTACCTGGAGTCTTAGAGAGGAACAATGAAGTACCCCAAGTCTCACTATCAGTTCACTGCCAAAATTGAAACTAGAATATGGACTGCTGGACTCCTGGGGATGTTAGTACAGAATGAAAGAATCTATCTAAAGCATATAGAAGAGTTTGGCACACAGTACACACTACACAGGTGTTTGCTGCTGTCAAACCTTTTGGAAGAAGCAAAGAGTGCGGTTGTTGTTAGGTGCCCTTTAGTTGGTTCTGAGTCATGACAATCCTATATATGGGACACTGATTATTCCGGCACCATCCTCACAATCATTGTTAAGTTTGAGCCTGTTATTGAAGCCTCTGTGTCAAGCCATCTTTTTAAGGATCCCTCTATGTTCACTCACCCTCTACTTTACCAAGCATGATGTCCTTCTCCAGGGAATGATCCCTCTTAATAATATGTCCAAATAGCTATAGATTATATCTCTCCATCTTTGCTTCTAAGGAGCATTCTGGCTGTCCTTCTTTCAAGAAAGATTGGTTCATTATTCTGATATGGGATACTTAACATTCATGGCCAATACCACTATTCAAAGTCATCAATTCTTCTTCGGTCTTCTTTATTCATTGCCCGGTTTTCATGTGTATATGAGATAACCGAAGACACCATGCCTTGGGTCAGGGGCTTCTTAGTCCTCATAGTGACATCTTTGACTTTTAGCATTTTAAAGAGGTGTTTTGCAGCAGATTTGACCAATGTACTAAGTCGTTTGATTTCGTGACTGCTGCTTCCATGGGTGTTGATTGTGGATCCAAGTAAAATGAAATCCTTGACTTCAAACTTTTCTCCATTTATCATGATTTTGCTTATTAGTCCAGTTGTAAGGATATTTGTTTTCTTTATGTTGAGGTGTAATCCACACTCAAGACTGCAGTGTTTGATCTTCATCAGTAAGTGCTTCAAGTCTTCTTCACTTTCAGCAAGCAAGATAGTGTCATCTTCATATTGCAGGTTGTTAATGAGTCTTCCTCCAATCCTGATGCTGTATTCTTCTTCAGATATCCCAACTTCTCATATTATTTGTTCATCATACAGATTGAATAAATATGGTGAAAGTATACAACCCTGATGCACACCTTTCCTGCTTTTAAACCACACAGTATCTTCCTGTTCTGTTCAATTGATTGCTTTCTACTCTATGTACAGGTTCCTCATAAGCATAATTCCCATTCTTTTCAATGTAACCCATAATTTGTTGTGATCCACACAGTCAAATGCCTTTGCATAGTCAATAAAACACTCGTAAACATCTTTCTGGTATTCTCTTCTTTCAGCCATGATCTATCTGACGTCAACAAAGATAGCTCTCATTTCATATCCTTTTCCAAGTCTCGCTTGAATTTCTGGCAACTCCCTATTGATGTACTTCTACAAACACTTTTGAATTATCTTCAGCAAAATTTTACTTGTGTGCAATACTGATATTATTCAATAATTTCCATGTTCTGTTGGATCACTTTCCTTTAGAATGGATACAAATATGGATCTCTTCCAGTTAGTTGGCAGGAAGCTGATTTACAAATTTCTAGGTCTAGACAAGTGAGTGCCTCTAGTTTTGCATCTGTTTGTTTAAACACCTCAGTTGGTATTCCATCAATTCTTAAAGTTTGTTTTTTTATTTGTTTGTTTCTTTGTTTTTTGCCAGCCCTCAGTGCAGCTTGGACTTCTTCCTTCAATGCCATCGGTTTTTGATTAAAGTGTAGTGGTTCAGCACTAATGCTGGAGCCCCTCTGCCTCACTTCCAATTCTGGGTTTGGCCTGGCAAGTTTGTCGTTCTGTCTGTGGCTTGTCAATAAAATATTACCTGCTTCATAGGATTGTTATGAAGTTTGAACAGGTTATTTAACAGTATCTGGCAGACAGCACCATATAATTGCTACTTAAATGCATAACGTGAACACAATTACTCTAGCCCTAGTAAATGATAATGTTTGCATCTGAATACCCATCAATCTGTCACATCACTCTGACATTGAACAGCTATGATTTTTACATGATACCTGATTATACTTTTTCAAGATATAATTCAGATTTAAAAATAAGCATAAAGATCAGCAGTTAAAACATAGATTAAGTAGATTTCAAGTACATGAAACAGGAGGAAAACAAATTACCAGTTCCACCTATGCAAATTAATTAGAGATAATGTCCTGTCACTGATACATTTGGCCACTCTGAGATCCCTGAGGCTTTATAATCAGCTCACATTTAATACAAACAATTAAGCTGTAGCAATTACAATGTTTCATGCTAATTTAGTAGTTACTGTGTTCCCAACACCCATTCTGAAATACTGGGTGTTGTGCTCATGGTGAATAATGTTCCTTAAATAAAATAAAATTTATAGGAATTTTAAAATATTGAAATTTCCAGATAATCAGTATCATAAACATACTGTTGTTGTTGTTGTTATGTGCCGTCGAGTCAGCCCTGACTCATAGCGACCCCTCCTTGGGTTTCCGAGGCAGTATCACTACGGAAGTAGGATTGCCCAACCTTCCTTCTGAGGAGTGGCTGGTGGGTTTGAACCGCCAGCCTTCTGGTTAGCAGTCAAGTGCCTTAGCCACTATGCTACCAGAGCTCCCATAAACATACTAGGCAATTAAATATAAGTGGTAAATATACTAACAACATTAAAAGAAATTCAAAAGGTATTTCCTGTGTAATAAGATAATTTTATTGTTTCTCCAGTAATAAGAACATAGGTAATCTTAGTCGTTCTTTTGTTTATCCACATCTTCTAAATTGTCTATGTTGTTGTTGTTGTAATGTGCCATGAGTTGGACCCGACTCATAGCGACCCTCCTTGGGTTTCTGAGGTAGTATCACTACGGAAGTAGATTGCCCCATCTTCCTTCCGAGGAGTGGCTGGTGGGTTTGAACTGCCAGCCTTCTGATTAGCAGTCAAATGCCTTCAGCACTATGCTACCAGAGCTTCCAAACTGTCTATAGTAAGTATGTATTATTTTTAAATAAGAAAAATATTCGTCCACTCAAGACACTTTTTCATCACCATGCACTATTCATGCTGGTCACATATCTAAGAAGCAGTAAGAAAAAGCCCTAACCTCTTGGAGCTTATATTCTATTGAGTAGAGGAAATATAGATGATAAGTATGGTATCAAATAGTAAGATGTAATCATTTCCCATGGTGGACAATGCTGAAAAAAGTAAAACTCAATCACCTGGACTGTTAATTTTATAAAATTTGGTCACAGTGTGGAGTTACAACCCCTGATTCACTTTAAGATAACCATATTGCACTATTATTGAAAAGGAATATATCATTCTGTTCTATTTTCTTCACAGCTCTTATTACCACCTCTCCTATTGTATAAGTGAATGTTTACTATCTGCTGGCCCCCACTAGGGTATCAACCCTATAAGAACAGGCACTTAACTTTACTTTTTGCTGTACCCCATGTAGCAATGCAGGTAAATCAAAGGCATTCAATAAACATGCTTCCAAAGTAGTGAGTGTGTGAATAAATGCATTCTGTATCATTTGACCTTGCCTGACTCCCAAACCCCAAACCCATTGCTGTTAAGTCAATTCCTACTAACTAACAAAATTTGGCATCACATATTTTGATATGTATACTAATTATCAACTTTTCTAAAACTGCACCTCTTTCACCAAATGTGAGAGTCCTAGCCAATCTAATTTCAATTTCAATTTTAAAGCATCAACTAATCTCACTGTACCATTGTCTAAACATCTTTTCTTCAAATAAATCATACTTGTTAGTTACAATTAAACCTTGTGGTCAGCCCTTCCCAGCTGCACATGATGAA